GAGAGAGAGAGAGAGAGAGAGAGAGAGAAACCGTGCAAGGGTTTCTGGACACGAGTGTCCAGAGACTACCCGTTGCAGCAGCGGGTTGCGAGGGTGGTCTGACGTAACGCGACGTTACGTCAGACCATGCTATAGAGGGCTGGTGGTGGTGCGCGTGGGGATAGATGTGGGCGAGGGGTTCACGGAGTTGGGTCAGAGAGGACTGGCACGTCAATAGGAGAATCCCTCGGTCGCCGGGTAGGGAAACGAACCCCCGAGTGGGGAGTAGCTCATGAAAGCTCGCGGCCAAGAGATGTGGAAGGGATAAGCTGCCTCGATGCTATTCCCTCCCTTGCTCTTTCTTTCTCTCTTTTTCCCTCTTTCTCGCTTTACGCTTGGAAATATGTGACTTCCGGTAACGCACAATTTCCGCGATCGTAAACGTATTAGTTTGAGTGACTTGGGGGTCACCAGGAGAATCGCTTGCTATGTTTAGGGGTTATTTTTCCAAGGATAATCGCTTTTTCTGACTCTAGCACGTTAATACCCATAGGATTGTTGTCATAAATATTAGTTAGAATTAATATATCAAAGAGACAAATAGCAGAATGTTAATTAATGTTTATGAAGATGGTATATCAACTGCATACGAAAACGTTGTTAGCTCCGTTCTAAAATTATCTTCCGCGGTCTGCGACCTACAGCTAGAGTCATGTGTTACTGCGACGACGTGATATAACATAGAGATCGACGGTAGATTCTGGAGGATCGGTAGCTTGATCGAGCTTGAATTCGGGTATTGCGCGCTGTAGGGGGTATGAACTCTCCTAATTTCGTAGCACCCTGCAATTGTTACGTGACACGCGCGACCGCCCCTGCAACGGTTTCGATATGCATGACTTAGTGATGTGGCGCTTGTTGCAGAATAGAGATGGTTTCTGTCCATTCACCTATTGAGCAGTGTCAGACACATCGCCCTAAGCATCAGGCGTTTAGATATCATAAGTAGTCTGCGGCTACCATTGAGCCCCGTTTGAAAGAGGAGTGAAGGGAAATGGGAATCGCTCGAAAGGTAGGGAAGACGGCGGAAGGAGAAAGGGTCTAATTCCTCGGAGGGGTGGCGGTCAGTGACGTATAACAACAATGCTGACGTTATCGTCGATCGACTGAATAAGGTGGAGAAGGACCGAATGTGATTGGAGAAAAGCAGCGTGATGGTGTGGTAATAATCGCAAAAACCGTAATGAAACACAGCACTTACAAATTTCCGCGAGTCCTCGGTGCTAATAAGGGCCGAACTTTGATAGCTTTTTCGACTCGGTGCTAATTGAAGAGATAGCGCAACGCTCTTCTCAATAATATAGAAATGTACAAGTAACGCTGCTGGATTCGTTTGCATTTAATCTTTGAATTCTTTAGAATGAAATCTTACTCTGAAGGATAAAAATTGAGCCGAACTTGAAAAAGAATAATATTGAAAAAGAATGAAATTTCACTATTTAGAGACAATTCACTCTAAAAGTTTTAGAAAGTACACACACATTAATATTAATTTGTTACATTCCATGCGATGTATCGGATGTCACGAATAATTATAGTTTATGAATTACAATACACATGTCCCACATTGCTTGCATACTAAATTTGGCGCTGCTAAATTATGCCTCTTGTGTACGTTTATTAACTTTACGCCCACAATTTCACGGGGACGTAAATATCACTTATTTAATTATAATTCTCTGTAAAGTGATACTCCGACTACGTTACTGTCCTCTGTCCCTGCAGCAGTGGGTTGTCATAATTTCAAGGGCGTCGCAAGTAATGGGGTCATCGCGCCACCGATATGCAATATCGTAATATCGAGAAATATTTCACTAAATAAACCTTGGAAAGAGTGTAACATAGCACGCTTCTTTTATGCAATATACTGTAGGTTCATTAAAAGTAAACAGTCAAGTTTCATAGTAAACTTGTAATGTTTCGTGAAACACGTGAACACAAGATTAAAAAATATTCGTGGAAATATTCTAGCGGCACGGAGCAGGACTTTGTGGCAGAATTCCGTCACTGCGATTTTCCGAACAGGGAATAAGGGATATATAAGGGACGTCTCGATCGCGCGGAGAAACCCGGGTGATTATGATAGAGTCGACTGAACTTAAGAGAAAAGTGCAGAGAATTTGATGACAACTTTGTCTTTATAGTATCGCGATTTTTTAGTATTCCAATAATTAAAATTAATATTTCAAAGTTATATTAATTAGAATAATATTTATTAACTCTAATGTATCAATCTTTTCTTTTTTCTCTTTTCAATTTTATTATAAAATGTAAAAAAAGTAGAGAGAGTTTTCAAGACTTTTCCTAGAAAATTTACAATTTTTACAGTATTACACACCACTTTAATCAACAAAGCTAAGGATAAAATCCTAAGAAAATCGTAAGAGCGTCCCGTGCGTTTTGATTAAGGGATAAAATTAAAGTAACAAAGAGAAAGAGTCTATCTAGTATTTTACTTTAATGATAGGAAATAAAAGCAGGCGGCACGCACATCTCAATGGGGGGGTAAAAGTTAAACCTTCGGGAGACGTCACTGTTCGGCGGGGTGGCGCGTCAAGGGCGAACAGTATCCGTGGTAGGGATACCTTCGAAGGGTAGGGGTGCGTCGCGGCCGACCGGGGCGCAAGAGGGAGGTGGCAGCGTGAGAGGCAGAGAGTGTAACCCCACGGTCGCACCGCCACCCGTGCGTCGTCGTATTTAAAATATGACTCGGGTTAGAGCGCACACGGGGGTAGTCGTGCGAGTGTAGAGATATTAGCCGTGTGCACCGGGAGTATATTATTCGTATTAGTTTAGGCAAGCAAAAATAGTAGTGAGTAAGGGTTATTGTCCGAGGGGGTGTGCAACGAGGTCTCCGTCGAAAGAAAGACAGGAAGAGAGAACGATAGGAGGATAGAGAAACGGAGCAGAGTCAGTACAAGACGGAAAAGTCAACCAACTAGACGAACGGATGATACGGAGGGTGGCTGGGTGAAATCAGACACTCTCGATCATCGGTCCAGTGAAAGTGCGAAACGTGAAGACAACCGTGTAGTTTCGGAGACAGCCGTTGCGAATGAATACATATCATTTTATCCTAGTTGCAGAGAGTGTGTGAAAGAGAGGGAGAGATAGAAGGAAAAAGAGGGAGAGAGAATTGTAGCGAGAGAGTGGAGGGTGGATTGTGAGAAAGAACAGAGCGAACGAAAATTATCGTGAATCAGTGAGTTTAGCGAGGATAGATGGAGAAAAAGAGGGAGAAAGAAAGAAGAAGAAACGTGAGTTCCATTGAGATACAGAGATATATATAAATATAGATAAATGGATAGATAGATAGATATATGTATACACATGCGCAACGCGAAACGTGTGAGTGTACTTGGTTTGATCATCATCGTCATCCTCGTCGTCGTGAATGCATTCTTTTCCGGCCCGAAGCTTTCGGGACAGTGAGAATACTTAGAGAAGTTCCGGAAGCGATTTGACAGAGTCTGAAAGAGGAAAAGAGGGAGACACAAAGAAAAATTCCCTCCCGCGGATGATCACTCGTAGGCAGCTACGTGTCGTCGCCGTCGCCGTCGTTGTCCGTCGTGCATATCTTTTCTCGTGAACTGTGATTCTTTGTGCCGCTCGTCGAAGGAGGTGGGACAGTGATCTCTGCGACGAGACGGAATAAGATAGACAGGCAGGGTAAGTGGAACTTATTGTCCCCTCGTACAACCCTGACTAAACGTTTTTACGTTTGACTTGACACTATATATGAAGTGGAAGCAGGTTAATTGGACAGTTAGGCCGGTTAAATTAAAGCCTATCGATAAGCGGAAAACCGAAGTAATAAAGTGGCTTGCCTCGTCTCTCCCGCAAGCTTACATCTTGACTTACATCTTCATACTTGAATTAAATCTCTCATCTGGTCTGAAAATCATCTTTTTATTCCTTTTGCTACAATTGAATAATGCCTATGATTTATGCAATATTTATCTTTGTATATCTCTTCTAATCTGTTAATATTATCGTCAATTAATTTTTAAAACTGTATGTATTAGATTAACAAGAAGAACTACGAAGTTCTTAATTTTCCATCGTAACTTATCTATATTACCTCGAAAAAGAAAGTCTGCTTTCTTTAGGTTAAGTAAGAAAGTTTCTTTCAGATTTATTCTTTTAAGCATTGTTTTACTAAACTGCAAACGAATTTTGTGCTATATTATTCTAATAATGATAAATATGTTTAATAAAATTATCGGCTTAAGTTTAATTGGAGTTTACAAAAGGATTATCAAATTCTACTTTTTCCGTTTCTTTAAAACATCTTTTCACTTTTTTTTGTATTATTTTTCTATAAAATCAAATTTTATATTCATAAAAATAACTGAATAAGGATCACTTTTTACTGACGATCATGAGAAAATTATATTTTAGACACGATACATTTTGTGCAATAAAATATAAAAAGCAAATTTTCATCCATTCGATATTAAATAATGAAATATCAGTATGAAAACATAACTTTCATAGTAATCAGGAATTTTAATGTTTTATATTTTAAATTTTCCATTAGTAACAAGTTTGAATAACTTGTACATTAAATATTAATGTGTGATAAAATGTTACAATTTTTTATTTGTGTACATTCTATTAATTTTACTGCTATTTTTTAAGTATTAAAATTGAATTTTCAAAATGTTATGCACAAAATATTAATTTGTAACAATAAAACATTATAATTATTATTTAAAATCACCTCAATCTACTGGCACTTTATCGTTTAATTTGAACGAATGAACTAACATTTAGTATTCATATTTTTCTTTGTCAATGAAATTTACTTCAAAATATAATGTTTGATCATAATCATTGACAAATGTTCAATTACTTTCGTGAATACATACTACACGTGAATACATAAAGAAGAAGAAGTAATGTAGAAAGAATTCTATTAATTTTACTGCTATTTTTTAAGTATTAAAATTGAATTTTCAAAATGTTATGCACAAAATATTAATTTGTAATAACAATAAAACATTATAATTATTATTTAAAATCACCTCAACCTATTGGCACTTTATCGTTTAATTTGAACGAATGAACTAACATTTAGTATTCATATTTTTCTTTGTCAATGAAATTTACTTCAAAATATAATGTTTGATCATAATCATTGACAAATGTTCAATTACTTTCGTGAATACATAAGATTTAATTTGAAGAAGAAGAAGTAATGTAGAAAGAAATAAAGTACACTGTTTTAGTATTGGCTTGACAGAACAAATTCGCGGCAGTGTCGAAAAAGTTGTTTTATTAAGTTCCGCATTGTTTGCGGGATAGTTGGACGCTGTGAAAATTGACAAATATAGAGTGTGTCACAAAAATCTGGACAAATTGAACAATTTCTTTAAACAAAATGTTTTTAATGAAAAATTAAATATTACAAAAAATCCTTTTACATGGCACTTGGGGGATTCCTGTAGAGCACAATTATTCGATATATCTCCCATTAGCTTGAATGACGGCCTCTATTCTCAGTCTGAAACGTTTGCACACATGCTGTGCCGACGAATGCTGCCTCAATAGCAGTCCTTAATGATTTCACATTGGGATGCCGAGACTTGTTTGTGACTTTTTCAATTACGTTCCATACGTAGTAGTCCAAGGGATTTAAATCTGGGCTGTTGGGAGACCAGAATTGACTAAAATATATCGACGTTGTCTGAGAACCAATTTTGAATCAAATGATTCATATGAGCCAGTGCACTGTTTTATTGAAAAACATATGGACGCCATAATTTCCATCCACGGCTTCATTATATTCATCAGAACGATTACTCTGGGTCATCCAAAATCAGCGCTTGAATTCTTTCAATGATTGTGGAGGTCGCGGTGCGTTCTTTCGAGTGACTCTTCCTCGCTGGCATACTGGAACCTTCGTTGAACTGTTCTAAAGTCGTATATTTTGCCACAACGTCATAAACAGTTGATTTTGGGTATCCAAATCGAATTATTTCCATTGCTGAGCGTCCAGCCTAAAGACCTTCGATGATTGCGGCTCATCGAATATACTCTGCATTTGGTTTCAACATCGCGGCCATTTTGAAAATATGACTGTTTACTAGAAACATCTTTCTCGAATCAACAATCTCTGGCGGAGATACACAGTATAGCGGAAATTTTAAATTAAAATTTGTTCGGATTTTGATGACACACCCTGTACATAAAAATAAAAGGATGATAAAAGAAATACAGCAGTGATAGTCTTTTTTTCCTGCTAGTACAATACATTCTTAATGAAAGCGGTACGGTAATGTAGTAAATTACATGAAAATACAGCGAATATCCGAATTAAATCTTAAGATAGATTTCCTTCATCAACTAACGGTCGACTTTTCCTCGACTGAGACGCGTCAAGATAGAACAGTTTTCGCATTACGAATAATTGGGAAACGAAGGACCTTTCACTAATTAACTTTCCAATAGATAAGGGCAGATGCAATTAAATAACAAAATTTTCTCATTCATTTAAATTCAAGAAGAACTTGTCTTTCTTTTTATCAGATATTAAGTCTAAGCTTCATTACCGAGAGATACTTCGTATTGAATGTTAAGAAAATGCAGTCGACACCTCTTTCGATTTTATTGTCAAACGAATTTGCAATTTAATTTATTATAAGCAAATAAGGTGTAATAAGAATTCATAAGTGGTAGACGCAGCACGTTTCTCGCGATATCATCTCGAGATGTCGACATAAAAATCTTGTCGCAAGGTTCTTATTTTCATGTTAGAAAAACTACTTCTCGGAGGCTTGATTGTGTAAAGGTTTCAGGAGAATTTGAAAATATTTATTGCATGTGCACGACGAGGCGCACTTTCACCTTTATTACGTAATTTCCACGTGCGTCGTACGTTGCGCGATCGTGTCTCGTTGATGAATCATTCTTCCCCTGTCATCCGAAGAGTGGTTAGTATTAATAATCGCGTGATTGTGCAACGCCAAAACAACGTAATACTAGTCGATTGGTATTTCTCGCATTTCCACGCTTTTTCTCGTATTTTCATTGGTGTTATCACTCGTTCGAAATACTAGATATCCATGGAAACTCACATTAAATATTCCCTTTCGCGAAATCCATGCCATGTACTATTTGTATGTCTAGCAATGTGTGTGCGGTACTGCGCAGGATTTCAGTGCTCCGAAATTCCAGGGGAGAGTGCGAGATTAAATTATTTATCGTTCGAAACTGCGGCGTGATATTCCTCTAACGACGCGCATTACGCGCGAGTCCAAAATACGGAAATATAAAATTATTACCCTTTCCCTAACCCCCTGTGATTTTCAACAAATTTCAGTGCATGCATTATTTATCATCTCAATGGTGCGATCACCTAAAATATAAATTCCTTTACATCTATGTACAGTTTAACAAAGCTAGCTTAAACATGCTTTATTCTTATTTTAATATTATCAATATCTGTTCTTATTTAAATTTCGATACTTAAATTTTATTATTCGAAAAATATAAAATTTTGAAAAATATTTGCTAATTGTAATTGTTATGAATTAATTAAAAAATTTGGAATATTATATGCAAGATATTAAATTTCAATACATATAATATTTAGAATCTCAGTAGTAAACTCAGTAGGATCAACTAAAATATAAATTCTTTCTTTACGATTATGTACAGTTTGGCAAAGCTAATACTAATTGTAAGTCTTATTTTGATGTCTTACTCGTATTTTGATATTATCAATCGTTCCTAATTTTTTTTTATCATTCGAAAAATATTATAAAAATTTTGAAAATATAATATTTGCGAATTGTAATTGTCAAATTAATTCCATTTGGAATATTATATGCAGAGCATCCATGTCCATTTTGATATAGAACAACAAAGGTTAATTAGGTCAATTAACCAATTACAGAAAGATCAAAAATGTTGATGTTTAGCTTCTGAATAAATGTATTTACTTAGCTAAAATAATTAATAATCATTCTAAATATATTTACATACAGTGTAACAAATATCAGATACAATATAATAAATATCGAACAATACCATTTCAAGATTTTCGCATTAAATATTTTTATATTATTTTAATATTGTGTTTATGTTGTTTTAGTATTAAAACGCTTTGACGAAGAGTTAAACGAAGATTTATATTCGTTTTCAAGAAACATTAGAGAATTAATCGATAATATATAACTTATCTCGACAAGAATATCTGAAAATTTAGATCTCGGTCATCATGGTGAATAAAGTTTGTTTTGGATAATATCTGAAAGCTGCCCGTATTAAATGTTCATTAAGATATTATCAATATATATAAACGAAATCGATTGATCGTAATACGTGAATTATTAATTTCATTTTTTGGACGTTTTTCCAATTTGTAGAACGACAGCCACAAAAAAAATCTAAATCTTTCTTCGTTCTATTGATGAAAAAAAGTCGTCCCCTTTACCTCGTTTACTTAATTGCATTACCAGTGTTTCTTCATTCTATCGATTTAACGAAAAAGGAATTGCTACTTACATGGGACTAATTGAATATTTAATTACGATACTACCTTTATCCAGAAAGAAAAAGTTAATTTTTATCCAGAAACACAAAAAAAGATTTTTTCTGTCGCAGCTAATTTTGGTTTGTTATAATATATTTGCTGGCGTATAATTTATAAACTATAGCCAAAT